TTGTGACAAATCATCATCATAATTTAGCTCGACTACATTGTAGTTTAGTCGTCATAAAAAATTGGCGGACCAACAAGTTTTTAATGTCAAAATAATTTTTAAAAAAGTCAAAAATTCCTCAACTAATTTTACGGACAATTTCAGTTTCCCAAATCGACATCTTTAATCGCCACGTGTGAGGTCTCCTCCTCCATCTGCATTATTTTCCCATCCTAACCGACATTTTTTTTCTAATATTTTCCTTATAAATTAGGTATTTATTCCATCAAATACCGTCATAAAATGATTAAATATTTATAATTAAATTAATTAAATTGAATAAAAGAGTGCAAGAAATGATAAATTGAAGTAGAAGGTATGATTTGTGTGTGAAGGAGACATATATATATTATTATTATTTATCTTTTTTTATAAAGGAAACTTGAAAAAAAGGAAAATGAATTGAAACTTTCCCAAAAATAGAGCAGAAGTCGTCAGAAATGGAGTATATTAAATAGAGCCCTTTGGTTGTTTGAGGATGAAGAAAACAATGAATTACTCATACTTAACCAATTGAATATTAAATTTGAAGTTAATAAATATTTTTAAACTTTCTTAAATGTATTGCGCATACACCTAAAAAGAGCAGTTGAATATCAAGCTAACATTCCCAAAACTGTCAAGTTGTTGAGTTGTCAAGCTGCTGAGCTGCCAAGTTGTCAAGTATTGTTAATTTTTTTGGATCACATGGAGCTACTGAGTTACCAAGCTCAGTTGTCAAGCTATTGAGTTGTTAGGTTCACATGTTAAACTGTCAAGTTCAGTTCATGGAATGATCTGAGATAAAATTGCAGAACATGACATAAAATTGCATGACATGATATAAAACTGCATAATAGGACATAAAACTTCAGAATATAATATGAAGCTGTAAAATGAGAATCCCATTATGAACATTTATATATTGGTATCTTATAACATGACAAAAAAAATATCAAAGACTCATAAAATAGAGATCAAATATTTAAATAGAGAGAGAAAGAGAGAAACAACACTCTCTTTCTCATGTGCTCCACCTCCTTTTTTTATCTTTTCTCTTTTTTTTTTTCTTATGGGGTGTTTAGACATAAGTAATATTTAAGTTAAATAAGATTTACTAAATCAGGTAAATCCGAATTTATTAAATCTAAATATTATTAAATCTGATATGATGTTTGGTTCAATTAAGGTTAAATCCAATTAAATCTATTTGATGTGTTTGGCATAAATCTATTTAAAATATTTTTTTCTCTCCCTAAATTCCTTAAATCCAACTAATAATTGAATTTAGTAATAAACAGAAGAAACAAAAATTGAATTGAACTTAAGACCAAATTTATCTAACCTAGTTATTGTGTTTTGGCTAGATTTATGTTAAAGCTAATAGAAATCCTCTTAAAAGTATCTTACCAAACACTCCCTTAATGCTAGTAGGATTTGACCAAAACTCACAAACATCATTAGATCTGAAGTCCTAAAAGAATCAACAACTTGCATTTCACAATCACCAACATGATTATTTTCAAATCATGATTTTATAAAACATGTTTTTCCATTAATAAGAAAAAATCAGATGAATTTTTTTCCCTCTTTATTTGATCTTCGGCAAATGCATGATAACATGGCGACTCATATTTAACTAAAAAAAAAAATCAAATTTATTAAACAAAACAAAAATGTTACTGATACAAAATTATTATTATTATTACAATTTTACTTTTTTATTATTTTTATTTGCTGTAAAATAAAGACTATTTCTTCCCATCTTTAGGGCACATAAAATGAAATAAATATAACATTAATAAATATTTAATAATAGAACACCCCCCAATCCCCTGTACAAATTTCACCCATTGACAAGGAGGTAATTTTACCGACCCATTTAGAACACGAAATCAAACAATTAGGCTCTGCAACCTTCCCCTTCTCTCCAGCCAAGGTAAACCACACTAGCCAGATAATGCGTATAAGCTCCGGCGACTACCAAGACATGAAAAAACTGATGGCTGTGTCCGGCGAGATCAAATTTTCCGGGCAACCACCTCTCCGGCACTCTCATGGCATAAACCAACACCCCAATCCCATAAAACATGGCCATCACCCCTTCATATTCGGTCGTCAGCACCGCCTCCGGCCGGTTCCCAAACACCAACATCTTGTGTGCGATGGGAATGATCCCCGAAGCCGCCATGCAGGCAAATAGAATCTCACTGGTCGGAATTGTGGCGAATCGAAGACCGGAACGAGCGAGACGACGACTGTAGCGAGGCCGAATGCGGTGATGGAGCAGAGGTAGACGTTGCGGAAAAAGGGATGGCAGGCGAAGGTGTAGTAGACGAGCGGATAGAATGAGGAGACGATGAGGCCGGAGATGCCGGCGAAGTCGAGGCGGAGCATTATGTAGCTTGTTTTGCAAGAGTGGCATGACAGGAGGTGACAGGCGCTGCTCATGAGAAGACAGAACATGGCTCCGGCGAGGTAGAGGTAGAAAGGCCATCGTGGGAAAAGCTGCGGTTTTTGGAGGTCGACGGTGGTGAAGAGGTCTTGAAAAGCAGTGAAGGTGTATGACGAATTGCCTGAACCGAGGTGAAGCATGGAGCTGCTGCTGTTTGCCGCGGGTGGGAAGATGGAGGCGGCGTAGCCGGTGAGGATGAGGAATATGAAGAAACCAATAAGATGCCTGTTTTGTAAGAGAAATAAAAAAAAAAGGTTAATTTTTTCAGTAAATCTAGAGAACTGTTCTATAGATTTAGAAATCTGAGTGAAGTTCTTACGTCCAGATGTTGAGGGTTTCGTTGTGGATGGAGAAGATGCTGAGAATTGTTTCTTTGAGCGGCCATTCGGAGCGGTAGTAGTTGAGGATGAACTCGTTGTGCTTCAGAAACTCTGGAAGAGAATCGTAGTCGACGAGTTGTAAAGACGGCTCTTTAACGATGGAGCTCGTCTCTCTCGTTTCATAAGAAATGGATTTGGTCCCGCGAGGAGATAGGAGGAATTGCATGGCCTCTGCGGAGAAGGAGGGCGAGCTCTGCAATTGAGCATTACAGGACATTGTTGATGCTTCGAAGCACATTTTTATGTCTCTACCTTGCTCTGCTGCTTCAGTTCCTATACGCGAGAGAGAGAGAGAGAGAGGAGATCTGGTATTGCTTGCTGTTCCTCAACTGCGAAATCAAAGGGAAGAAGAAGGTATATATAGAGAATTTCCAAAAAAGACGGAATTTTTTAAAGAAATAAAAAAAAAGGGAAGAAATCTGTGCCGTCAACTAAAATTTGGTTCTTGTACCGGGAAAGGAAAAGAGTGGACGGCTTCTTCGCCGTGTGGCGCCGGTGTTTGACAATTTTCAAGATGGGAGGCAGTAATATGAATTGCAGTTGAACGATTTTTCTTTTTTTTTTTTTTTCATTTTTAATTTTTCTATATTCTGCCTTTTCACCGCCAACTAACGTACTCATTCGCATCAATATTTTCAAAAATGACACCTCCACTATGGATTATTGCTAATTTAACTGCCAACTTGGAAATATAATATTTAAAAAACTTGAATAGAAGATGAGGCGTTTTAGAGATATATTAAGTGCCTATTTGAGTAGTCTGTAGCTGTTTGAAGAAGCAATTATAAAATTATTGATGAATGAATCGTAATTCAAAAATTTCTTTTACGGTGCGACATCACATCACCGCTCCCAAAGACACCTAAGTTAGTTTAGTGAATTTTTTCTTTGACCCATTTGATGAGAAAATACTGTGTTCGGTCTCATGCGAATGTACAGTGACGTGGAAGCATCCAGACTGTTGTTTGGAGGTCTATAAGTTCGCATGTAATATTTTTTTCTATTTGATTGACTTAAGAAATGTACCACTATTTCAATGTTATTTAATTTTATGAAAAATAAATATAAAAAGAATTATTTTTTTCTATCAAGTTGAGTGCCTAAATGGTAAAAATAATAATGTGTAATGAACACTTACTGTTATTTGATTATCTGTAAAATAAATGCTCTTTATTTTTAATCTTATTATTATTATGCTATATATTCATGAATTAAAAATAGCTTCGATAGACGGTGATGGTCTGATGAGATAGATATTAACCTAGCAAAGATGGTCTAACAATGATAGTGGCACTAGGGCGATATGGGTCCGACAGCGGCGATAACTCGTCGATATGATGATATGTTCGAGGTGTGGTCCGACGATAGTGGCAACTGTGGAATCCGTCGTCAAGCGACGATGGCCCGACCATTGCGAAGATGGTAGCAGGGACGAACGGTCAGCGATTGCTAATGAACGCCGTGCCAATGGCTGTTGTGGCTAGTCCATGCTATCCCTTTTTTAAGTTTCTATTATTTTTATGGGTGATTTATATATTTTTCATTAATTAATTACGAGGTCGTACCGCCAAAATTACACATGTTATTGTCCCGTTTTATTTCTAATTAATTAATTAATTAAATTAAAAAATAAAAGAAACTCAGTACTCAGTCAGTAGTAAGCCTTGTGCGGCCGTTCATTTCAATCATATATATTAAGTGCAGTTGCGTAAATTCTAAATTGACGACTTAAGATCATATTTAATTGTAAGAAAATTCAAGGTTCAAAGTAAAGCATACCTCTGTTGATTTTTACAATAAATGCAAATAAGAAGATAGAAATGTAATTAATTCTGATCAAAAAATTACTTTTTAAACTAAATTTAGAATTTCCTTGAAAAAAATGTACCTTTTATTAATTTTCTTAAATAATAATATAACTTTATATATATATATATATATATAAACACAAGCTATTCAAAGTTGTATTCTCAATTTTGGCTAAATTTACTAAAATCTCACTCTAAAAAACTACAAGTCACGTGCTCTAAATTATATAAACATGAAGTTTAGAGAAAGATGGAATATTTAAAAAATTTGAGAACCCTCATTATTCAAGCATCGATGTCAGTTGTCATCTTTTGACTGTCATCACTCAATTGTCATAATTTATTCAACTTTCATTACTCAACCATCGATGTCAGTTGTCATCTTTTGACTATCATCACTCAATTGTCATAATTTATTCACCAACCTTTAAATTCTACTATCTAATTTTGTGTTGTCCAACAATATTTCTCAGTCAACATTCTCAACCATATTGTATGATCAATTTTATTTGACCAAAATTATTTAATTATCAGTATTGCACACTTATTGTTTAATTTACATTGTCCAATTGTTATCATTATCTCTTCATATTTCTTAGCTCTACTATAATTACAACAAATCAAGCTTGAACATATTCTTTTTGTACTCTTATCATTTAGAATTGAGGAGAATAGTAATACCTTATAATTTTACTTATATAATGAATCATTTCATCTGGAACTTCCTATATTTTCTTCCTTTTTATTTTTTTTCATATAAAAACTTTAGTGTTTCATATATTTCTATCACATACCTATGTGTATAACATCTTTTTAGCAAAATTAGGATAAACTTCCTATATTTTCTTTCTTTTTATTTTTTTTCATATAAAAACTTTAGTATTTCATATATTTCTATCACATGCCTATGTGTATAACATCTTTTTAGCAAAATTAGGATGCAAAACCACACTATTAATGCAATTTTTCTATAATATAGCAATAAATATTTTTAAAATAAATATAACGGCTATGAGAATTCAATTTAAATAAATTTGAATTAAAATATTTCAACCTAATTTTTTACATTCATTGTTTGATTGGCGTTGTCCATAAGTATTACCCAATCATCATTGCTTGACCACTATTGTTCGATCGATTTAATCAGACCAACATTAGTTAATTATGATTTTGCATAGTTATTGTCTAACTAATATTGTGTAATTGTTATCATTATTTCCTTATCATTTTTAGCTCAACAATAGTTACAACAAATCAAGCTTTAGTCCATTAGTTTATATTTGTATTTTTTAGAAATGTGGATAAGACCAAAACCTTATAATTTGACCTATATAATGAATCATTTCATCCCGAACTCCCTATTTTTTTCTTTTTTAATTTTTTCCATATAAAAACTAGAATTTCTCATGTATTCTTATGAGTTATCTTTGTATAACTTATATTTGCAACATTAAGACTTGACCCCTCTACTGATATATTTTTTTTATAATGTAACAACACTTCATTTTAAAATAAATTTAAAGATTGAGATTGATTTTAAGTTAATTTGAATCAAATATTCCAACCTAATTTCCGAACTTTATTATTTGTTTGGTGTCGTCCATCAGTATTGCCCAATTATCATTGCTCGACCACCATCATTCAATCGGTTTAATCAGGCCGCCATTATCTAATTGTCATTGCTGCATAGTAATTGTCAAACTATAGTTATAACAAATCAAACTATTTTGTATAATGCATCATTTCATCTCGTACACCCCACATTTTTTGTTGTTGTTTTTTTGGTTTTTTCATATAAAAACTATGTTTTCTCGCATATTCTTATCATATATTTTTGTAAGACATCTTTTTGCAAATTTAAGATACAAAATCACATGATTTACTGATGTAATTTTTTTTTATATTGTAACATTATTTATTTATTTTTAATAAATTTAATTAAAATGGGATTCCTTTAGAAATAATTTTCAATCAAAATATTTAAATCTAGTTTCTGAGTTTTATTGTTTGATTGATATTGTCAAGCAGTATATGTTGTCCAAACATCATTGCTCAACGATTATTGTTCGATCAATTTATTTGACTTCATTGATTTAATTAAGGTTGTAGCATATTTATTATCGAATTAGCATTGTCTAATTGTTCTTATTATTTTTTCATCATTTTTAGTTCAAACTGCATGTATAACAACTTTGATTTCTCGTACATTCATATCATTTGTTTGTGAGTATACCATCTCTCACAAAATTATGATGCAAAAATACAATCCAGTGATTGAATTTTTTTATAATGTAATGACACTTTTAAAATAAAGTAAATGACTGAGATTTTTTAAAAATAAATTTGAATCAAAATATTCTAACCTAATTTATGACCTTTATTATTTGATTGGTGTTGTCTATTAGTATTGCACAATCATCATTGCTCAACCACTATTGTTCGATCAATTTAATACGACCACCATGATCTAACTATCATTGTTGCACAACCATTGTCTAACTAATATTGTCTAATTGTT